CATGTCCCGCTGGAAACTGAACGTGACCTGTGACTAGTGCAGGTGAGGTGACCAGAGGTGGGGAGAAGGTGGGCCCTGCGTCCAGCAGCTGGTGGCCCTGTAACAAGAGGGAACTGAGTGCGGAGGGGATGGGGGAGAGCAGTGTTGACGCTGCCGCAAGCTAAGGATGCCTGGGCCTCCAGGCCCGGAGCAGGCGGGAGCCTCCCCTGGAGCCGGCCTGCGCTGCTCGCACCTTGACTTTGGACTTGCTGGTCTCCAGAGCTGAAACAGAATTCATCCATTATTTTTAGCGCCCCCCACTTCCCCCCCATGCAGTGGCAGTTTGTCTCAGCAGATTCAGAGACACGTGCACCTACTGTGTGCAGACCTTTGGTGGTGTTTGGAGTCTCAACAGTGAGTCAGAACATACTCTGAGCAGGCGAATGTCACAGCCCTTCTCCAGGAGGCGGCAGCCAGGGAGCCCCACAAGTATCTGGCAGGACACGCTGTGGGGGCATCAGATTGTGGGAGCAGGGGCTTCTCCAGCACCCGAGCGTGTGTGTGTACACCCATGTGGAGCTGGGGCGGCGTCTCTTGCCTGACCACTGATTTTAATCCCGAGGCCTGCCCACCTGCCACAGTCCTGGTGCTACTGCGGTTTGTGCAAGAAAACCTCAGGCCTGTGGGGCCCGTCAGCGGGCTGGCCTGTCAGCTCCCACGTGCCCTGCATCTGGGCTGGGGCCATGTCGGAAACTCTGGTACCTTCACCAGCTCGCTGCCCACCTGCCTTACCCACTCTCGGAGACTTCCCAGCCCCAGCCAGCTGTAATTCCATGCGGCCCAGGAAACATGTCTCGGTGCAGTCTGGGCTGTCCTGCCTGGGGCTGGGAGGGACAAAGGGCAGGAGGGCCTGTGGAACCTTCTAGATGCTGCTCCTCCAGGGAAAAGGCCTTTTGCTCAGCAGGGTTGGGGTGGACGTGGGGGCGTATCATGCACCCTGCTGGGCGGTTCACCAGAGTGCCTGCTGTGCGCTAGACTCTTTGCCAGGCTCTGGCGACCAGCAGGAAACGGGATTGAAGCTGTCAGGCACTGCAGGGCTCCTCTTGGGCTTGAGGCAGCACTGAAGCTGTGCAGGTACGGGGGGCCTGCGGCTAGCCCGACTGTGGGGTGTTGCCAAGCGGGACCTGTGGCTATGGGCTACCTTGGGGCAGGTGTGGCAGAGATCTGCCACGGGCTATGCCTGGGAGCCCCCACTGAGGGGTGCACCTGGGTTCTGGAGTCTTCTGTCCCTTTCTCAGGAGTCATGGCTGCTTGTCTCCCTCCCTGTTCTACCCATGCATGAGAACACCTAGGCACTGAGACCCTCCTGACTCCTTCACTGGCTGGAAGCGCCACTTACAGTGTGACCCCCCCCAAAATGTCAGTAAATGGGTGCCACCCGCCCTCTACTGACCCTAGAGCTGCAGACCCTGCAGGCCACCAGGACCATGGCATCATGCTCTTTTCTGGTCTGTGACCCACTCCTGCATCCCATTTTGGTCAAAACCAGACTGGGAGACCCACACCCTGTCCCACAGGCCTCCTTCACTCTGTCCCCCCAACCCTTGATGAAATAACATCATGTTTTTTCCTGGCATTCATTTTAACCCTTGCTGAGGAAGTCAGAGGCCTGCACTTTTCCCCATTCACAGTGTTATGCAAACACCACTTTTCTCTGGTTGAGAATGTCTCACCTCCATGGGAGGTCCTGTGTCCTTAGTGCCACCCCTGTCTCTTTCCAGAAATGGGACATTTCAGAGAACTTAAGCAAACACTGGGGGCCCTTCTGTGTTCGGCTAATCCCAGTGTAATGTTTTCAAGGTTTTCCCATGTTGTAGCAGCATGTGCCAGTGCTCTGACCCTTTTGATGGCTGAATAATATTCCATCGCGTGCCTCCACCCATGGTGGATGTCCATTCATCCACTGATGGACATTTGGGCTAGTTTTACCTTTTGGCCACTGTGAGTGGGGCTGTTAGGAACATTCATGTATATAATTGAGTTCCTGGTTTAGTTCTTTGGGGAGTGGAACTGCTGGTATATGGTAATTCCATGACTTTCTTAGCAACTGTCAAACTGTTTTCCTAAGTTTTTGAGTTGGCAACAAATGGGGCTGAGGTTGGGAGGGGCAGAAATTGGGTTTATTAAGTAAATTCCTGATGCATGAGGAATGAGGACGGCATGGCACCCCAAGTCCTCCAGCTTTCAGGACAATCTGCTTGTGATATTGCTGAGCCAGGGAGCTGAGGGAGCGGGGGTTTTAACTCCCCAACGCTAGATGCTGGACACCCCACTGGTCTTGAGGGAGTGGGAAGCCAAGGAGGCCAGGACCTTGGCGGGAGGAGGGTTGGTCATGGCCGCGGCCTCTCTAGGGCTGAGTTGGGGGTGGAGGGTCACCTTCCAGCTCAGGAACCTGAGGCCTTGATGGGCATCTGGAAGGAGCCAGCCCTCCATTGTTGGCGTTTCAGTCGGCAAGGAGGCTAGAAAAGCGATGGGAAAATGGCACTTCTCCCAGCCGCTCCCAGCGCAGAGTCAGACAGTAATTTGGAGGTTGCCTGTGTTGCTCTAGGGTGGGGTTCCTCTCATAGGGGTGCAGGCAGTCTCTGCAGAGTGTCTTCTGCAAAGTGCCAGGCTTGTTTCCTTCAGTGAGCGGGTGTTTGAAACCCAGAGAGAGCCTAGAATCTGCCTCGCTGTACCAGATGGCTAGGGTTGTGGGGCTTTGCAGGGAATTGGAGAGCAGGATGGGCACTGGCCCCTCCTGGGGGTCGGCGAGGGCAGCTCTTGCTGTTCGTCCTCAGACTTCACTTGGGCAGGGCCGCCCGGCTTCCAGCACAGTGCTGGCAGCAGAGCTCTGGCTGGCTGAACCCTACCTGTGCGGGCACCTGCTGATGGCCTGACCCCCCTGCCAGCCCTCCCTGGGTGCCATGTGCACTCGAGGAAGGTCTGGGTAGCAGGTGTGGACAGATGTTTCCTGTGAATGGCCACGCGTCCTTTTTTCTGACTTTTGGATCTATTCCTCTGGCCCTGGGTTTCTGTACGTGCTGGTGATCAGTGTCTTTTTAAAATGAAGTTCTGCTGAGCTGAAAGCAGTGAGGATGGGTGCGGGGTGGTGGGCAGAGGCAGAGTGTGGGTGCTGTGTAGGTAATGTGGGGTGTCGGTTATCCTTGTGTTGATTCGAGGGCTATTAATGTTAAGGCTTGCATTTTTTTTTTTTTAGGGTTTGCATTTTTGCAGGTGGCACAACAGGGTTCAGAAAAGGGAAGTGACTTGCCCAGTCACTTAGGGGTGGCAGAATGGGACTTGTCCCCACAATCATAAGAGGGACGCCACACAGGCAATGTCCTGAGGGGGTCAAAGGTGCGTTGTGGGGGTACTGGGGCTCTGGCTTCTAGTATTTGGATGACTGATAGCGCCCAACCTAGGTTCACATCCCCCGTGACCCCTTCCTTTCCCTGGGTGGGCCAGAAGTTTCGGTGGCAGTTGACAGGTACCCAGGTAGAGCGCCTCTGTCCCTGCATGGGTGTGCAGGCTTCAGGCTTAGCAGTGCTCAGCACCCACTGCTCTCTGCACCCTCTTTCCATCACCTTTGGGTGGCCCAAGAAGCAGGCTTTCCTGAACGCCTTCTGGGAGCCCCAGCCCTGGGTCCTCCACCAAAGTCTCAGGGTGGACCCTGATTGGGTCATGTGCCCATCCCAGAGCCAATCACTGGCCTGGGGGTGCAGGACTCTGGTTGGCTGGCCCTGGATCACATGGCCTGGGGAGTGGAGAAGGTTCCAGAAAGGAAAGTCAGTAGTCTGTAGCAGCAGACGGGAGGTGGGGAGTGGGGTGCGAGCAGGACTGTAGAGAGGGACTCATTCTTCCTGTGATCCCCACCAACTTCCCTCCCAACACCCTGTCCACATTAGAATCCAATGGACAATCCACCGGGAGGAGGGCCCTGGATGCCGGCCCTCTTGTAGAAGAGCAGTTGCCACGGCTGGGGATCGGGATGCCTGCCAGTGGCAGACAGGGAAAAGAGGGAGGATGTGATGAAGCTGCGGGGAGCTGGGGTATACTCTAGTTAGTTACCTGCTCACACAAGATGCAGCCCCCTCACGCACCATGGGAGCACACCAGACCGGCCCCTCGGTGTGATGGGGTGGCCTGCCGGACAGAAGAGGCTTCTGTGTGGGAACGATCTGTGGCCCGCAGAGGGGTGGGTGATGGGGGGATTCGCCCAGATACCTGTGGGTGCACAGCCTTCCGCGGGCTTCCTTGCCCCCTTGCCAGGTGTCCTTCCTCTCCGCTGGTCTTGGGTTCCCCATCCGTGAGGCCATTGCTCTGTGTGCATTGTGTGCACAGGTGTGGACATGGGCAGGTTCTCTCCTGAGGAAGGTGTCACTTCCCTGCCCCCGCTAGCTGCTCAGGGCCCAGCAGGCCCCATCCATGCCCTGGCTGTTTGCTGGTGTGGCCCTTAGCACCCCAATCCCAGACCAACCCCGTGTCTGTCACACACACCCTTCTGCAAGGGACTCCAGGAGGACGATGACGGGCGTCCCGCCAAAGGTGACCTCGTTCACCATTGCCTGGGACCCCATGTGTACCTCCTCCTCGCCCAGCATGCCCCTGGACAGGATACTGCCCTGGTGACTCAGAAGGGGCCCAGGAGACCTGGGGTTGGCTTGGGTGGGCCGAGGGGGCTTGGGGGCTGTTGGGGGCAGTATCCATGGAGTTGGGGCTCCACAGGGTGATGTCGGGTGGGCAGAGGGGACTTGGGTGCCATTGGGGTAGTCGAGGCAGTGTCTGCAGAGGGCTTGCAGGCCTTGGGGTGTGGGCGCCACTGTCCTTGGTGTGTTTCTGCTCTGTGGCTCATGGGCCACCTCCTGCTGTTGAAGGCTGTGCAGTGGTGGCCCAGGCACATCCCAGGCCGATGGCGTGATGGGGGTGGCCGGGGCCCCTGAGTAGCTGCTGCCCGGCTGACCCTGTGTTCTGGTTTCCCTCAGGTGCCCGGACAGGTGTCCCGCGAGCAGATGTCGAGGACTGACTTTTGATCCTTGGAAGCCACTGTGAGGAAGCCCCCCAGACGCCCAGCGCCATGTCGGGGTCCACACAGCCTGTGGCGCAGACGTGGAGGGCAACCGAGCCCCGCTACCCGCCCCACGGCATCCCCTACCCCGTGCAGATCGCCCGGCCCCACGCGGTAAGGGCCCCTCTGTGGGCGCCGTCTGTCCTTGGGTCCCCGCTGGTTCCTGTTTCCTGGAGCCGGGACTGGAGTGTCGCCCGCGGCTTTCGGTGTCCCCCAGACACCCTCTGCTGTCCCCTCTGCTGGGCAGAGACCTCTGTCCCCAGGACATCTGTTGAAATTTCTTAGCCCCATTTTAAAGCTGGGAAGATGACCGGTGTCTCAGCCTCTCAGAGGCCACATGCAAACACGGAATGCCCGCTGTATACATTGTCATTGCAGTCCAGCTGGGGCTAGCAGGTATTGGGGCTCCTTCCTTGCTTTAGAACTGGGGTGTCCACCAGTAACTCTTGTCCCCGAGCTCATTTCCTGTGGTGAAGTGGCAGCTATGTGACCCTGAGGCCTGGCCGTGGTTTGTCTCTCAGCCTCTGATGTTGGGATCCAGGTAGTGATTCTGGGGTGACGTGTTATAGAGCCTCAGTCAGTTTTGCTAAGCTGCCCCCTCTATCATTCCCCTAGCAGCAGCCCCATTTCTGGCCTTCGCCCCAGCTGCAGTGTGGCCCAGCAGACGCCAGATGGTTCTGCTCTGCTGGCATTCGCCGGGCACTTGGGGTTCCTGGTCTTTCCCTTTGACCTCCAGGCTGCTGGGTGAAGGGCGTGTTGCTTCTGGGATAGAAGCTGCCTCTGGGCCTGTGCGGGTGTGTGCACGTGTGCTTGGCCCATGTGTCCTCCTCATGACGGCAGGGAGGTCATGTCCATGAGCAAGTGAGAAAACATTTGCATGTGAACCCACTGACCCACCCTGGGGGTGTCCCAGATACGGGCCTCTGAAGTCTTGGCCCCCCCACCCCCCGCGACTTCTCTGCGCCGGCTGAGATGAACGGTGGGGAGAGAATGTCGGCCCCAGAATGTCCTGCAAGTGGGGTCCCTGGACTCTCCCCACGGCCGAGCAGCGATCCTCACAGTGTCGCTTGCCTTGCAGACAAGGGGCAGAGGCTAAGTCTCCAGAGGTGGCCTGTGGCCACCTGTGCTGAGCCTCAGGCCACGTGCCTCCCCTTCCTGGCCCTACTGTGGGCTCAGGGCCCAGGACCAGGTCTTGGGCTGAAGGCCTTACTGTTGTGCCTCGGCCGCAGTTGCAGCAGCCACCTCGGACTCACTGTCACTGGCGTGCCCACCACGTTCTGCCCTCTTTCCCCAGCTTTGCATGTCCCCGTCCTCCAACAGGGACAGGCTGACCTGCCTGAGCCTTGGTGTTTCATCCATAAAACAGCCACAGACACCTGCCTCCTGCAAGCTTGCTGGGGGCCTTGTGGTCCGCTCCCTGCTCCCCTGCCTGCCCTGATGGTGCACGTGGCCACAGCTGTCAGGAGGGCCCACCTCGGGCTCTTGCCTCTTGCCTTCTCCTGTCCACTCCTGCCGGGTCTGTGCCCTCATCTTGTCCTATGGTCTGCGGGAGCCCTTTCTCCCCTGTAGCTTCTCCCTTCCTTCCGCGCTTCCTGCCCTGTGCCCCAGCTGGCCACTCTTGGTTACTCAGGGTCAGCGGCTGTCCCGACACCTCCTGCTCTCTCCCGCTGGGCTCAGTGACGCAGGATGTGGCTGGACGGGACCCAGTGATCACCACCCCTGCAGGCGGGAGGCCAGGGGTGAGCAGGACCCTCACACAGTGTGGCCCAGCTCCCTGACCATCCCACTGCTGTCCTGCTTGTACCTGAAAAGCAGTGACAAGAATTCCGGGCAGGTTGGGAGGGTCTCACCCCTGGGCATGTGTACAGCCAGGAACCACTTCCCCCTGGCTGGTGGGAGCTGCTAGTCCCCTCAGCAGCCCGTGCCTCCAAACTCCTGCTCACCAGCCTCCCCTACAGGCAGGACCCTTCTTTTCTGAGTCTTTGGAAGACAAGGGAAATCGAGGCCTGGAAAGACCAACACAAGGGGAGACTGGAGTTCAGCCCTTGCCACAGGTGCTGGGATGGAGTAGGATCTGGTTCCATGGCCTCTGGCCTTCCAGCTCATTCCCACAGGGCTCCCAAAAGGCCACTTCCTGGGGCGGCATCTCCTGACCTTGCAAGTCTGCAGGGTCTGGGCCCCAGGATCTGGGTATTGCTCTGACAGCCAGCACCCCAACAGGTGCCTGTGAAGGTGGATGTGGATTCCGGTCCTCCCATTTGCTGGGGGCTTGGGCTGCTCACCCCACCATGAGCCTGGGTCCTGAGGTCTGAGTACCAGGGCCGGGGCTGCGGGGTCCCTGGGTGAGTGGCTGTGCGGTCATCTCTTTCTTCCCGGCAGGTGGCAGAAGACCCCAGGAGACCCTCTTCCCCCAGAGGGCTGCAGCACCCTGGACTCTATGTGGGGAGCCCCCGTCCCAGCTGCTGGGACTCTGTATATTCCTGCGTGTGTCTTCTAGATCGCCTCCCCTCAGCCCCGTAGAACCTATGCCCAGATTTTCCATCCGCCTCGTTAGCTGTCACCCCCCAGAGCTGGCACCCATTAGGGGACCCCTGGCATCCCAGTGCACCCTCTCTTCTTTGCCTCCTCTTGGCACCCATTAGGGGACCCCTGGCATCTCCTCTTAGACTTTCCCTGGCCAGCTCCAACCTGCTGTGGCCCCCACTCCCTGCAGTCCTCGCTGTGAATGATTGTGTTTAAGTCCGGCCCCCTCACTGCTGTGTGACCCTTGGACAAGTTCCTTAACCTGTGTCGCAGTGTGGCAGGACCAGCCTGCTTGGGTTCCATCCTGCCTCCGTTACCTCTTGGCTGTGAAACATGGGCTCGGGGCCTCAGTTTCCCGTCAGTCAGGCTGGTGGTCCGGGTTGGCGGGTGAACCTGGCTGACCCTGCAGATGATGCATGGTAACGACCACGGTCTCCGAGGCTTGAGCCCCTCTTCCGTGGCCTCTTCCATGGTTCACCACTGGCCTTCCCTCTAGAGCAGGGGTCAGTGAACCTTCTCTGTAAATATTTCAGGCCTCAGGGTCACAACTCCTTGACACTGCTGCCTTGTAAGTGGAAGCGGCTCGGCCGACGCGCCACCAGCCGTGGCCGCGTGCCCGTAGCACTTGATGAAACCGGCGTTGGCCTTGGCCGGCTCGGCTGACTCCTGCCCCAGATCTGGGCTTATCACACCCAGCGCAAGGAGGACCAGTTTGTTCAGTTTCTCACTTGTCACAAACAGCCACAGAGGTGGTCCCGCTGCGTGTGCACAGCTCATGGATGCAGTGGGTCTAGGGCGCCACGCCTCTGTCAACAGGCTCCAGGGCTCTGGGTGCTCATGTCCTCAGTGTGCCCTGTGGCCTCGCAGGGAGCCAGGGCAAGCAGGGGTGGGTGGGGGTGGAGGGCTGGTGGCCGGGAGAGAGACCCGTGCACAGGGTGGGGGTGGGGGACAAGGCCAGACGGTTGGCGCCTTTGCCAGTGTCCCCAAAGTCACAGGGAGTTTCTGCGCCCCTGTTGCCCAGTGCCAGGTCCTGGCAGTGGCTCCAGAGGGGCATCCATCATTCAGTGAACAGACACTTTTCAGGGGCACCCTAGGCCTGCGTGACACAGCTGTGAACAAAGCAGAAGCACTCCTGTCTCTTGGGGCTGTGGGAACTGATGTTCCCATGGTGAAACAGGGAGCAGGACAGGAGAAGGGAGGGGTGGCTGAGGTTGGTGGGGGTCCTGGTTGAGGTTCAGGGAAGGCCTCCCTGAGAGGCTAACATTAGAGCAGAAGCACTCCTGTCTCTTGGGGCTGTGGGAACTGATGTTCCCATGGTGAAACAGGGAGCAGGACAGGAGAAGGGGAGGGGTGGCTGAGGTTGGTGGGGGTCCTGGTTGAGGTTCAGGGAAGGCCTCCCTGAGAGGCTAACATTAGAGTTGAAACTGAGAGAAGTAGAAAGCCAGCACGTGGAGCGCCAGCTAGCGTCTTCTCACCAGGGCAAACAGCATGTGCTCAGGACCCAGAGTGGTAGGTCTGGGACTGCGACTCCGGAAGACTCGTGTGTTCAGGGGCTGAGGACAGCCTGAACTCTTCCTTTGCCCGCCGCTGGCAGCCCCACACGTTTCTTCAGCTCCCTCTGGGGGGCTCCCTCGGGGGACAGTGAGGAGTGCTTGTTCTTCCACCCCCGCATAAGTAAAATACTCTGGAATCTGGATCCAGACACCCCAGCACCGCTGCCCCCATGCCTCGCAGGACCCAGCCAGGGACAGAGCAGCTGGAGGCCCCGATGCCAGCATCTGGCAGCCTGGCGGCAGAGACGCCAGCAGAGCCCAAGTGGTGGGTCTCTCTCTTGCCCCACCTCCCTCCCCTCTCCCTCCCCCGATACCTTCTCTGAGCAGCATCACTGGAAACAGGTGGGCAGGGCAGGCAGGCTTCTTCTCAAGCTGGGGCTGCTGCCGTGGACCGGGTGAGAAACCGTCCCTCAGCAAGAAGCCAGCTAATCCACCCACTTCTTGCTGTGTGACCTGACAAGTCAGCATCCTCTCTGTGCCTCAGATTTCACATCTTTGTGTGGGGTCACCCTTCATCCTTACTTCCTGGGGTTGCTGTAGGAAGGAACCTGATGAAGATCTGTGAGGCGGTTAGCGGTAGGCGCACACAGTGGGCAGCCTTGGGACACTGGACACTGTTGTGGTCATGGTGGTGTTCTGTTCCCTTGGAGTCTGGTGCTGAGCGTGTCATTCTGAGCCCCAGCTTGGGTCATGTCCTCTCGTGGAGTCTTCCAAATCTTGTCTTCCTATAGAGGTTCTAGGCACCCTTGGCCAGGGCAGACCCCGGGCTCACCCCGGACTCCAGCTCAGGCCTGGGGGAGCAGGGCAGGTTGGCAGAGATTCTGAAGAGATGGCGCCTCGTGCCACCATGGCTCCTGCACCGGGGACCTGAGGCCAGCGTCCGTGCCGCGCCTCCCCAAGTCCCCGCATGGGCACCCCTCGTGCTGCGGCCCCCTCCCCCTCGCTTGGCAGCTGCAGGTGCCGTGTCTCGCCAAGCCCCTCCCGAGGCTTTGGACTGTCTGCCACGTTGCTCATTTTGCTTTTGTGCACAGAGCCGGGCGGAGAGAATTCTTCTGGCAGACGCAGGCCTGCTGCTTTCCTCACACCTCTGTGCGCAGCTGGTGCGCGGGAGATCTTTGCCTGGCAGCCCTGCCCAGAGGTCCGTGCCAGCGGCCTCCCTACTCCCACCCCAGCCTCGCGAACACCTGTGGCTATGCAGACACCAGTCCAGGCGTGCGGGCTCTGTGGAGACCAGGGGAGAACCTGCCCCTCGGGAAGCTGCTCCCACCCCGGCACGTGTCCTTGGAGGGTCACGGGATTAGTGGGAGGAGGCGTGGAAGTCCCCTTCCATCTCAGACACCCTTACACAGAGGAGGAAATGGAGGCTGCGGGACTTGGTGGATGGACAGACACCTGCAGCCTGGCGCCCTGGAGCGTTTTGTGTCCAGGCAGTTGCCTCCCTTACCGTTTCTGGCCTCAAAGGTTGCTTATTCCATCTTCTCAGCCTCTCTGACCTCTTGGTCTCTGATGTGCTTGCTTGGAGCCTCTGAAGCAGATTCAGTCTACACACAGCTGCTGGGGTTCCTTTGCAGGAATAAAAAAAAAAGCCTCTAAAAAATCAAATAGTAAAAGAATTACTAGATTGTTTATGGAAAATTGGGAGAATTAAGAAAGGTGGGGGGGGGGGATATCACCTGTAGTCTCACTCCCCTGCAAGCCTTACCTGCGTCAGACATTACTAATCGATCACCACACTGTCTGAGTGTTCTCAGCAGGCAGAACTAATTGATTTGCATAAGGACACCTGTGAAACCTGCTCTGTTTTTTTGTTTGAAAGGAGCGTCTCTATCTTCTTTATTCCTCCCTCAAAAGGCATTTTAATGTTTCTCAAGTCAGAGTGGAGGTGACAATTGGTGTCTACCTAATTGGTTAATATTTAGGTTTTCCTGGATGATGATGGATAACAGCTGTCATTTTGCTAAAGAAGGAGGCTTTTACCTGACGTTTATCTTTCTGACTTTGTGCTCACACATGTGACATACATGTGTGGGCTTTCTTTTAGAAGGCAGGGGTGTGTGATCTCAAGTTGATGGCCTGTACTGGAACCTGACCTTGAGCTCACAGATCCTGCATTTTGCCACAGTCAGTGGCCCCGTGACTGTGTCCATCATCTAGTTGGTGTCAGCTGTGTCCTGGCCAAAACCCCGCTGCACAGGGGCCCCCTCTTCTCCCTCCTTCCTGATTTGGATGTTGGAGGACAGGAAAGGGGCACAGGATCCCCTCCTTTACTCCAGTGAGCCTGGCATGGGTTTGCGGGCAGAGAGAGGGTCCTGAGTCTTTCCCAGCCTGTGGCTTTGCACAGGCCATGTGTTACCTCCCAGGGAGATGGGCAATGTTGCAGAATGTTGCACCTAGGTGGGCCTGTTCTCGGGGCCCAGCCAAGTGCCCACATAGGCATTCACTTAGCAGCGTGTGCACCTTCATTGGTAATAGGCCCCTGGAATGCTCTCTGGCCGGACTGGACCTTGAGGGCTAGTTAGGTGGACCCTCTGGGGGCAGGGAGCACCTGCTAGGGAATACCTGTCAATGTGGCATTTGCTGGACTTACCTGATTTTCCACCTCTGGCTGCAGGATGTCGGGCTGCTTGAGTACCAGCATCATCCCCGGGACTACACCTCACACCTGTCGCCTGGCTCCATCATCCAGCCCCAGAGGAGGAGGCCTTCCCTGCTGTCTGAATTTCAGCCTGGGAACGAGAGGTGAGGAAAGGCTTGCACACAGAGCCGTGACTGCAGGGCCATTGCTCAGATGGGAAAGTTGAGGCCCCTGGAGGACTAGATGCTGCCTGGGTTGGTGACAAATAAGGGGAGTCAGACTGTATCTGCCCTTATGTTAGCAGAAAGCCCCAGCTGTCTGGGCCAGCTTCCTTTCTTTCAGTTGGGTAGGAGAGAAATGAACCAGTGCCACAGGGAGGGGAGAGCCTGTCCTGGGTCATGACGCCTGAGAAAACAGAGTCCTGCTCGCTAGGATGTGTCAGCCACTCCAGGCTGTGGATGCACAGTGTGGCCCTGCCGGGTGGAGCCTTCTGCTCATTAGCCCTCAGCACTGAGACTGAAGGAGGAGATGGGAGGAGAGTGAGTGCTCCAGCCAGCCATTCAGCAGGTGCAAAGGCCCTGTGGCAGTAATGCAGTGGAGAGCCAGGGGCAGCTCAGGCAGGCCTGCGGCGAGAGGCAGGTGAGAGGCACTCCAGCTTCAGCAGGCTCTTGAGCAATATTTAATGGCCTGTAGGTTCGTTTAAACACAGACTTTTCTCTATCCACGGGCAATTCCACTTCCAGAGATTCATCCAGCAGCAGATGTTGGCTGGTTGGATCCGACTGCGTGGAACCTGTAGATGTGGAGGTGGGGCTAAGTTGTTTAAGGATTTTCCATGGTGCAGAGGTTGGCGCCTCATCCCGCCTGTTGTTCAAAGGCCAAATGAATATTGGAAAAAACATAAACTTTGAAAATGTTAGAAAATGTCCCAGTGAGCAAGCGTGGACTGTGGTACAGCGCCGACTCGGGCGGAGGCTGGAGCTTGGCTCCGGGAGTACCCAGGCAGCACGTGTCCTCCCAGGCGTGTCCTCCTCTGCAAGGGGGGCAGGGTCCAGGTGTGTCCATCAGGGGTGAGGTGCACAGGTCCCGTTCCTGCCTGGGATGGCTGGGCCGAGGCAAAGGCTGAGGTGAAGGCAGCAGGGCCAGGTCAGCAGCAGCAGGGCGCTGTGATCGACTGGTGATGTCTGGCCTGAGTGGGGGTTGTACAGGCAGTAGCGTGTGTAGACCTGGGTGCTCTGTGACCCCCACACCACTGAGGATGCTGTTTGCACTGCATTTTTTGCCGGCTCCAGGTGGGGCTGCTGTCACTGCCCTGGGCCTAGTGCAGTGGTGGGGGTGGGGTGCACGTGCAGCAAGGTCGGGGTGCTCACCCCAGGGACGGGACTGGGAGGGAACTCCTCTCTGTGTGCCTGTGAGCACAGGGCTTCCCAGGCCTGTCTCTCTAGGGCCGGGCGGGCGTGGCCACAGGGCGGTGCTCCCTGGCTGATGTCTCCTGTGACACCTTACCCTCCCTTGCTCCTCAGGTCCCAGGAGCTTCACCTGCGACCCGAGTCCCACACCTACCTGCCCGAGCTGGGCAAGTCAGAGGTGGAGTTCATCGAGAGCAAGCGCCCCCGCCTAGAGCTGTTGCCCGACCCCCTGCTGCGGCCTGCACCCCTGCTTGCTGCGGGTCAGCCTGGGGGCTCGGAGGACCTGTCCAAGGTAAGACCAGTCCCAGCTGGAGTGGGCTTGGTCAGCTGTGTGGGACAGGCTACAAGGAAGGCTGGAGTGGGGGTGCCTGGGCAAAGCGGGAGGTGGGCAGGAGGGGCCTGACTGTCGTCACTCCATGTCTACCTCGGGGTGGGCCCCTGCTCCTGGCACAGCCCTGCTCCTTTCCCTTCCCATCTGCCTTTCCTTCTGCCCCCGTTGTGCGCACCATTCCTTTATCTCCCTCCCGTACCCACCTTGCTGCCCACCCACCCTCTGCGCACCGCCGTTCCTGCCCCCTTCCTCCGTCCATTGCTGCACTGGCCACTTCCTGCCTGTGCACCCGCCCAGCCTGGCCGCACATCCTCCTAGCCCCGCACCTGTCCGCCCATTACCCGCTCTCCCTTCCCACTGCATCCTCTCCTCCCTTTGCACCTGCCTTCCGTCTGCCAGGTGTGGGCTTTGGCCCCGCCCTCCATCTGTACACCCCTCCCTGCCTTCCCCACCCGAAGGAGTCCTTGGTCACTTGCACTCTGCAGCTCCTGAGATTGGCCCTTGTGGTCTTGGCCATGGGGGTGCCGGGAACTGCGGCTGGCCCACAGGCCCTCCAGTGCCTAGAGGGGTCTTTCATTTCTCACTTTAAAAGGCACAGTGGAGCAGAGATTGTGGGGAGAATGTACACAGATTTGGTGCCTCTGGTTTGCGGCTGGGGAGATTTTCCTGCTCTCAGTGCACCTGGACGGTCTGGGCGGCGAGCTTGGGGCCTCCTCTTACACAGAGGAGCCGGGTGCCGCCGAGGCTTTGCTGCCAGCTGACCCTGCATGTGCTGTCCCTGTGTTCCTGGCCGCCTCTAACCCTGTATTTCACTGTCACCGCCTGGGGGACAGGGCCTGAGTTCAGGTGACCAGCTCCCTCCAGCGCTGAACAGGCACCTTTGCCCGTGGGACGCACGGCTGTCGGAGAGACCAGTGCCCATCCTGGTGCAGCACGGTGGGGGCGAGGCTTGGAGCCAGGCCAGCGGGGAGCTGCCTGCTGGGGCCAGCTGGGATGTTTGCTCTGCCAGGTGCCAGAAAGGACTGAATGGTGGGATGTCAGGCGGAGGCAGGGCCTCACTTGGGGGGCTGGCATGAAAGGGGCACTCACAGGACCCATGACAAGGACCCCTGAGCCCGTGCTGACCGAGACTGCCATTCCGTGTGCCTTCCAGCCCGATGGCCCCACCGGCAGCCTCCTCTGTAGCGGGTCCCCCAGGCCAGTGGGTACCTGGAGCTGAGGGAGTGGGACCAAGTCCCAGCAGCCTGGCCCTGAGCCAGCCCCTGCCCACCTGCTGTGGCCGCGGGCCCCTCCCTGTGTGCCCTGTGGGCCGCCTCTGTCTGTGCCTCTCTGTGTCTCCATCTCTTTGTGTCCCCTGGTACCGACTTATGGGGTGTGCTGAGCCACTCTTGGGCCTGGCTGGGCCCATTACCATAACCGCTCCAGGCTTTGGTAACATGTGGGAAGTGGAGCCGAGTTCTTCCTGGGATGAGGGTTCTGGGGTGGGAGAGGATGTGGGTTCCGGGGTGGGAGAGGATGAGGGTTCTGGGGTAGGAGAGGCTGGAGAGTCAGCTGGAAGTTGAAATGGACTCAGGAATTCCACATCTTGTTTTTCTTTTGTAACCCCTCCCTCCCCACCAAGCTGAGTGCCTTTTTCATGTAAAGTGTTCTACTAATGCTTCCCTGCTGAGTCTTCCCTTGGTGCTCACCTAACTTTGTTTAGGGGACTTTAGAACTGTCACCAGCGGCACCATTTCTGAAAGTCCCTTTGTGTGTTGTGGCTTTGTTGGCTGAAAGACACAGACACCCCAGATCACTTCACTGCTGCGGCTCCTGGAGCTGAAGTCCAGCTTGGCTGGCTTCGGCGTAGCTTGCGCTGGCTGACGGTTCCTAGATGCCCGTCCCCACCCTGCTTGGGCTCTGCATCTTCCATGTGTTCTTGACAAGGCGATGAGTGTGCCAGGTCTCCTAAGTTCAAGGCTGGAAGGACAGGAACTCTCCCTCCCCCTGCCTCCGCCCCCCACTTCTTTCCCCCAGCTGCCTTTCTGTGGGGCTGCACCTTCCTGGGACCTGCCGCTGTGACAGGCAGGCGGCAGGCCCCGAGACTGGCCCTGTGCCTGCTGAGCTGGGGGGTCCAGCTGGGGTTCTCTTAAGCCTGAGGCTTGACTGCCTTGAATTACACCAAGGACTGCAAAAATTGGGGAAACCGGAGGCTTGGGGTGTTACTTTGAGGTTTCCCGCCTGTGACTTTCGGTTAAAGTCAGGGCCAGCAGCCCCAGGAGAGCCCAGCAGAAACCCAGTGGCCAGGCCCCCTTGGTCTCATTCCTGTCATTGCCTTTAGTGTGGTTCTTCAGTTTCTTCCTCTTTTCCTCATCCTTTTGCCATCTTTCTTTGTCCTCCTCTCCCCCCACCCCCACCTTTTTTTTTTTTTTAGCCCAGTAGTACTTTTTATTATTTTTGACCCTATAGGCATCTTTTTTAAGTGGAGGTGAAATTCATGTAACATGGAATTAACCATGTTAAAACATTCAGTTCAGTGGCTTTTCATGGCTTCAGTGGTGGTGCGACTGCTTCTAGTTCTAGAACAGTCTCATCACCCAAAAGCAATGCACGTGGCCTTAGCTCAGCAACCCCTGCCCATGTATCCGGTACCTCAGGGTTTGCTGTCCTGGGCGCGCCAGGTGAGTGGACTTGCGTAGCTGGTGGCCTTTAGGGGTCTTGCTCTTCCGTGTGTGTGTGTGTGTGTGTGTGTGTGTGTGTACGTGTGTACGGGCAGGGGGTGGTGGCCACCAACATGTTCCTGGCCACGTGCTGGCCTGCTCTTCAGATTGGCCTCATTTTACCCTTCACTGGGACAAAAGCTATGCCCCAAGCTTAAAAAGCCTGAACCACTGGTGGACACAGGTGGCTTTTACCCAGAAAAAGTCGACGGAAGAGGCTGGCGATTTCCCCCATGGCTCTGGGGGCCTCTGGCCAGTCCATCTCAGCACATGCATCCCTGCCCACCTTGGGGGTGGGAACCTCCTTTTCGCTGAGGCAGTTTTCATCTGAGGATTATTTTTTATTTCCTAATGTTGCTATTGTGGATTATTCCTTGGTTAGAGGCATGGTTTCGGGCGTGGGGTAGGATCACCCTCAGGCCTTCCTTTTTACCTTTGGCTGCTGCTCCTGCTTTTCTCCCTCCCAGCCTTAGGGGGTTGGTGGGGGTTCTGCAGAAGGTGGTAGGACTAGGCTCCCAGACCCCTTTCCTGTCTCTGGTGGACCTGAGATGTGAGGGAGGCTGGGGGGAGGGAGGGGCAGGTCTCAGGGACAGGGAAGTGGTACTGGGTGGTCCAGTTTCAGCTGGCACAGAGGTGGGGTGGGCACCTGAGCAGAGGGGCTTGTGCTGAGGCTCACAGCTGCCAGTGCGCCTGAGTTGCTTACATGAACTGCTTCTGGTCCACTGTCTTGACCCTCCTTTTGGGGCCAGTGAGGTCCCTTTCCACCTCCCCACCCCCCACATACATTCACACCCTGGAGTGTTCCTCTAGGGAATGTGCACACAGTGTTTCCTCCTAGTTTTTAGGGGGCCCTGAACCCCAGAATGGACCTTGCTCTTGCTGTTCTGCCCAGCCATGCGGCACCGCCCTATGCTGTGGGAGCCCTGCAGGCTGGGCACCAGCTCTGCCGTCTCCAGGAACCTTCTTCCTCATGCCCACCAGGGTCTTTGGCCATGTCCTTAAGTCTGACTGGACCTCAGTTTCCTCATTGGGAAAGACAGTATTCCCACTTCCCAGGTGCTTGTGAATTGCTGGGAGCAGATGGTCATTAGACTCATGACGCTCCAAACCTGGCCCTCAGCCTGTGTTTACAACTAAAGTTTCATTGGCATGCAGCCATGCCCACTTTTTTGTGGCCTGTCGGTGGCTGTGTTGACCTGTCGGTGGCTGTGTTGACCTGTGGCTACTTGGGACAGAGATGGTCTGGCCCACAGAGCTGAAGTGTCTTTGCACCTGGCCCTTCTGTGTGCCAGGCCCCAGCTCTGAGCAGGGCCAGGCCCTCAGGCCCCTCTGGATAACTGGGGTGGGGTAGCAGCTCTCTAGCAGGAAGACAGAGGGGGGCGGTGCGTGGAGTGTGCTGAGGACTCATGGGCTAAGCAGTGAGCCCTGTGGTGGCTGGCCTAACGTGGTCACTCTGGGGTGCCCCAGGGACCTGAGGCTTTTTCTGTGTTCCCTGGGGACTTGGGGGTATGGACGACCCAGGGTCCCAGCTCCAGCTTTCCCCATGTGTCGAGGGAAATGAGATGGGGTCCTGTGGGCCTTGGTGGGGTCCGTGCATGTGACAGAAGATGGCACTGCCTCTGCTGTGCTGGCCCCAGAGGGGAGCTTGGCAGCCCAGGGCTGCAGTTGTCCCGCGAATAATGTGTCCTCTGTCCTCTGAGTGCAGCTGCTGTGGGGGTGGGGCAGCCCTTGGAGCCCCTCCCAGGGCCTCCCTCCTCTTCAGCAGCTGCTGGCTTGGCCCTGAGGCCAGGAGGCCGGCGGTGTGCTGTGGGCTAGGGTATGACTGAGCTGCTTGGGGCAGGACTGTGCCAGCCCATGCTTGTGGATAGAGGATTGTGGGCCAGACTCGGAGTGAGCACTGTACACACGAACTCATTCCAGCTTCCCGAGCCTGGGCGCAGATGGGCATGCGTGATCTGCCCGACGTCCATGTTGCTGGGGTGCAACATGGCAGGGTGGGTGTCTGGAGGCCAGGCCCGGGGTGCTCCCCCCCCCGTGCCTCCGCCACCCTGTGGGTGTTCAGTTGGTGGATGAGGCCCGCGGAGGCCTCCCTTGTTTAACATGTTTGAAGGCAAGTTTAAGCAGTAACCCTCAGTGAGGGGAAACAGGGTAAATTAAAAGCAGAAGGTGGAGAAGCCCCCTCACGCCCACTGGCTCCTGCAGCTCTCGGCCTCTTCCCGCTTCTCTGTGTGTCTGGTGTATTTGCCACCGAACTGGGTTTGCATGGCAGGTGACATTCTGCACGTGCTGGTTTGAACTGGGCCTTGTGAACAATGCTTCTCCAGCCATCTGCGGAGGCAGGGCTCGGGGCGGGGAGGGGCTGGGGGGGGGCCGGGACACGGGCGAGGCGAGCGGAGTAAGAGAGAGGCGTGTTATGGGGAAAGGGCAGAAGGAAGGTTTCTGACGAAGGGGGATGTTGGGAAAACTTTCCTGGGGGTGGACAGAAGACTCTGCTCTCGGGAGAGTGGACAACAGGCCGGGAAAGGCACCCAGGACAGGAAGAACAGTGAGGGCAAAGGCTGGGAGGTGGGCCTGGCCGCTGCAGAGCAGGAGAAGCCGCCAGCTGCAAACCAAAGCCACTTTGTGGTGCTGGTTGGAAGGGCCGCTGGGCTGACCCCGGGCCTGCGTTTTCTGTTACAGGACCGCAGCCTCACAGGCAAGCTGGAACCCGTGTCTCCTCCCAGCCCCCCACATGCCGACCCCGAGCTGGAGCTGGTGCCTCCACGGCTGTCCAAGGAGGAGCTGATCCAGAACATGGACCGTGTGGACCGTGAGATCACCATGGTGGAGCAGCAGATCTCCAAGCTGAAGAAAAAACAGGTACAGGCGGGGGCTGGCAGCTCTGGTCCTCCGTTCGTGGCTGACACAGCAGTAACAGTCGTGGTGGACTGTGTTGGGCAGTGCCCACTTTCTGGCTCGTTTTTATGCTCTCCATGTTTATTGGACAAGAGGGTTGTTTTACATGGTGCTATCCAATAGAACTGTCTGTAGTGATGGAACGTTCTAGATCTGTACTGTCCAGCATGGTAGCCACTATGGTTGTGACTGTTGAGATGGGAAACGTGCCTGGTGGAGCAGAAATTTTTAATCTGTTTAATTTGAGTCAAGTTAAATGTATGTGTGGCTTCGTCACTGGATGGTCCCAGAGTGGTGGTGAGGGTTTGGAGTTTCCTCTGGGCTGTCTAGGTTTGGCCCTGGTTTCCATCACCTCTTGGCCATGGGGCGTGAGCAGGGGCTTCTCTGCACCCACTTTCCTCTCCTAGGTTGTAGTGGATGTGTAGACAGACCTGGGGCCCCGGCCTGGACTCTCAGCGAGCTCCCATGACTAACCCTGGCTTTCCTCATCTGTAAAGTGGGTACAGACACGACAGCGTCTCCCTAGAGTGAGGCGGGAACAGGTCACACCCTCCCAAAGGAATTCTCATTGGAAAGGTCACAGCCAAAGGAAAAGTTAGTATAGAGATTGATGATTCTGTGTTATAATTTTACTTTAACCTTAATCGATACCTTGCCTTTCTCCAGCTTTTTGCCTGGTTCCCTCCTTGTCTCATGTAGGCCTCTGCTTAGATGCCCCCTCCAAACCCCCCCACCCCCCCGGAGCCCTTTTCCTATCACCTATCCCAGGGGCCTGCAAATCCAGCCAAGTGCAGCCCATTTTTGTAAATGTCAATTTTTTGCTCACAGCCCCGTTCATTTGTTTACACCTTGTCCTGGCTGCTTTTGTGATGTGGTGAGAATGTCAAAACCCAGCAGTCACGACAGAAGCAGCATGCGGCTGAGTCAACAGCAGGCCCCCCACTCCCCAGCAAGCTATGTCCTGTTCACTGCCTGTTGATGGCACCAGCGTCTGCCTTGATGCTCACCCTGCCCCGTCACTGGGGCACAGCGGGGTCCTGCCTCCTACCACTGTACCCCTGGCGGTGCCACACACAGGGGGCGCCTATGGAATGCGGTTGATGTCTCTACCCTGGTGGTATTCATTGCATCTGGGGAACAGGGTCATACCTGGTCTTCTCTGGATAAGGAAGTGTGGGGTCCCCAGGGTCAGGCTTTAAAACTCCCCAGTAGCTGCGCTAAGCAGAACGTGAGGCTGGGTGCAGGCTTCCCGGCAGCCAGTCTGGGCTGTGGGAGCTGGGTTCTGGAGGATGTTTGCGGTAGTGTGGGCACTGATTTCCAGCGGGCACTGGGCCCCCACTCACGTGGAGAGCTGGGGCTTGGGCTTGGCCCCCCAGCCGGGCAGGTCAGGAGGATTGACCAGCTGCCCTGGACCTGCGGACAGTAGGTGGGTGTCCCCTAGCAGGCTCTGGCATCCAAGTGAGGGCTGGGCCGTCAGAGTACCAGCCATTGTCCGGGCTGGGCTTGGGCGGCCTGAAGCTCGGGGTGACCCATCTCACGGTGGCTGTGGGAGTGAAGTGGCACAGAGTGGTCCTCCGTGATTAGAATTTTTAAAAAGTTCTATCTGGACATTTTTTGTGAATTGAAATGCACATGGTACCACCACTCGTGTTTAGGTGGGTGGCTGGCGGCATTGAGCACATCAGCAGTGTTACGCAGTAAGCCTTCTGCGAAGCTCCAAGTTGTTTCTTCATCCCCCTAAAAGGAGACTCCACACCCACCAACAGTCACCTGGCCTGATAGCCACCAGCCAGCCCTCCTTCACCCCTTTCTGGATGTTTCTATAACTGGCATCTTGCACTCTGTGGCTCCCATGTTGGGCTGCCCAGCTGCCCCATGCGGCATGTTGGAGGGTCCTGGTTGGGTCCTGCCACTCAGGGACATCTCTCCCAAGGAGGCATGTGGCGCTGCAGTCTGCACTGTCCAGCTGAGGTGCTCAACCACTACAGGCTGGGCTCCTGAGGATGAAGGTGCGGGACACGGCTGTGCTCTATACCGCTTTATGCTGAACTGCTCTATACCGCTTTATGCTGAACGATAGCCCGCCATCCGAACAGACCACCCTGTCCCATCACCCATGGGTGCTCACGTCGGGCGCCTCCAGCCTTTGCTGCTGTGACTGCTTGAGCAGCGGCCTGGCCCTCGGTCACGCAGTCTGACTTCTGAGAGCCGCCTGGCTGCTTTCCACACAGCCATGCAGGGGGCCTGATTTCTTCACAGCCTCCCCAGCTCCTGGCTGTCGTATGAAGTCGCTTCTCTGCATCCTACCGAGTTACCCAGCTGCCTGGTGAGAGCGCTCTTTTTGTGTATCCTTTCCTGATCCCACAAACAGCCCCTGAGAGGCTTTCTGAATTCGGAGAGGTTGAGTGACTTGCTCCAGAGCTGGTGAGCGGCAGGCATTCTTACTCAGGCTCTGGAATGCCTCCCCGAGGGCCACCTGCACCGACACCTGCACCGACCGGGTGCCGCCCACCCACCCTCTCTGGCTATGCTGCTTCCATTTCTTGGGCTTTCTTTGTTTAGCACTTCTGCCAGGGATCTTGACTGTTTGCCAGATGCTGGCTGCCCTCCCGGATACCACCAGCAGGGGGCGCTGCGGGGTGAGGGCAGCTCAGCTCAGGTGCCAGACCTTGTGCCAGCCCAAGCCTGCACTTGGGAGTGTTTGGCTCTCTCGCTTTGCCCTCCTCTTGGCTGCCTGTTGGGGTTCGCTCCATGGTCATTGGCAGGTGTGTGAACACTATGAGCAGAGGACAGTGTTTGAGCCTCATGGCCCTGTTAGGTTGCAAGGCTCCTGTGTGACCTCGAGCCAAGGGCTTGAGCTCTCTGGTCTTCGCTTTCCTGTTTTGCTGTGAAGCAGACAGTGGCAGGAAGGGATGGCCTTCATAGTGTTTGAGGAAAGAGGGTCCAGAGCGAAGACCAAGGGGCAGATGACGACGGCGAGGACATGGCATTGATGATGACGATGGTGATGAGCTGCTTGCTGAGGCATCTGTGTGGGCATCAGCACTCTGAATCCCCACACCAGCTCTAGAATAAAGACTTGAATTACCCCTGCCTTCCAGAAGAGGATAGCCCAGCTCAGAGAAGTTTAGAAGCTTCCTAAGGTTGCATAGCCAGCAAGTGGTGGGAGCAGGGCTCCATTCTGGACAGTTCCACCCCATAGGCCTCTGTGCTGGCCACGGCACTTGAGCTGTTGATGGTGCATGATGACAGCAGCTCTCGCTGGCCCCTGACTGAGCTATTTTTGCATTGGCTGGAGAACACAGTGATGGGCCCGTTTTGCAGATCAAGAAAATGAGGCACAGTGGGGCCCAGCTGCTGGTGTATGCTTTCCTCACTGATAGCGCGACAGGATTTGAACCTGAGAAGGCTGGCTGTAGGGTGTGGGGTGGGTTCTTCCCCTCGGGGCTGGGGCCTCTCCGGCGGGCTCGGAGTCCCCGGGGTGACTCAGAGGAAATGGTTAGCAGCCTGATTTCCTGTGTATGGTCACCAGCCCCGCTGCGTGGGGGCCGTCCCCAGGCCGTGGGGTGCTGCCTCCTAGATACCCCTTCCGCCTGCCAGTGCATTCACCACCGCACTGTCCTCCCTTCCCACAGCAACAGCTGGAGGAGGAGGCAGCCAAGCCGCCTGAGCCCGAGAAGCCCGTGTCCCCGCCGCCCATCGAGTCAAAGCATCGCAGCCTGGTGCAGATCATCTATGACGAGAACCGGGTATGCCCGTGCGCCCGCCCCACCCTGCGCCCCATGACCACAGGCCCGGCTGGTGAGAGGGAGGGGGAGGGGGTGTCGGGAGCCGTATCTTGGTATGGCTGCGGCCCTTGTGGGGCACCCCGTAGACTACAGCGTTGGTGGGGGTGCCGGTTGTGAGGGGTGGGGTCCTTTTAGGCACGTGTGTGGGGACACCTGCCATGTGCCTGTGGCATGGAAGTCCAGGTGACTCCATTAGTGTTCCAGGAACAGACAGGGATGATGCTGATAGCAGCTGAGTCTGCAAGAGCAGTCCTGGGGTTGTGGGTATGGTGGTTGTTCGCGTTTTTCACAAGGAGATACTGAAGACCAGAGAAGTGTAGTGACTTGTCCCAAGTCACAATGCGGGCAGCAGTGGAGCTGAAATTTGAGCCTGTGGGGGCCTCACACCCCAGGGTCTGACGCTAGAGCACTGGGGGTGTGTGCAGGACAGCTGTTGAGTGTCTGGGAATAGCTCCGGGTACTCAGAGCAGAATCTGTCCAGACCTGACCTCCAAAGACCCAAGGTACCCCCAAAGTGGAATCTGGTCTCTAATGGGGTGGTGAACTACTGGTCACCCCGGTCAGACTGCCTTCCGTGACTTAGAGTTGCCTCTACACACATCCAGAGCCTGGGGGTATCAAGTCCCTCCTTTATTTTACAGATGAAGAATCTGAGGTCTACACTGATGTGTGTGCACCTCCCTGCCTTTGACCCCACCCCACCCCCGCCTGACCTGGGCCCTGGGCCCCCCTTCCCAGCTGTCTCTGCTAGGGGATCTCCCCCTGTGGCTGGATCAGTGCTTGCAGTGTATGGGGGTAGAGGGTGTGTGGAGTCCAGGGGGCAGCTCTTGTCCTTGGGCCGGCCGGATGGCTGCCCTTCAGCCTGGGAGCATGTAGTTGGGGTGTCAGTGACTGTAGCTCCAGACAGGGAACTACAGACTGCAGGCGTGGCTGTCTCTACCTCTGGAAGCAGCAGTAGGTGTAAGGTGAGACTGACCCTGCAGGACCTGGGAACTGTGTGCTGAGCCAGCAAAGCTGGTCACGCGGCCACGGTCCGAACCACCACCCGACCCCGCTACCCACCCGGTAATATGAACAACAGACATAATGATAGGAGAGTGAAGCATGATTTAGCCAGAGGTCATGGGTTCATACTCCATTTCTTCCTATCTTGCTCTGTGACCTTGGGTAGTTTACTTAAACCTCTTTGTGAGTCATGTTTCTCACCTGTGCGTGGTGATAATTTTAGCATCTCTACACGCGGTGTGGGGATTAAGTGAGTTTTACTGCTGTGCCTTAGAAGAGTGCCTGGCGCTGAGTGTGGGCTAGTTGCTCTGTGCTCTGTGTCACAGTCTCAGTCACTATTGTTCTTTTCTTCTTGGAATTGTTTACATTTTGCACAGTTTTCATTTATTTCCCTCCACACCTGTGTGAAACAAGTACTATTATGGTCCGTATTTTATTCATTGAGAAATGGAGTCTCAGAGAGGGAAGGTGACCTACCTGAGGTGGTACAGCAAGTGAGCTTTGAGGTTTACACTCAGAGCCAGGGTTGAATTTTGCGTCAAGACTCCTGGATCCAAGAGCAAAAACTCAACTCAGACTGGGTGACGTGAAGGAGGGGCTCGCTGAATCTTGGAATGCAAGTTAATAGTGGCTGGCTTCAGGTAGGGGTGGATCCAGGTGCTTTTTAAAGGACGCTGCTTTGAGTACTTTGTTTCTCCATCTGTTTTCTTTTCACCAATGTTGTTTTCAGGCAGGGGTCCATGGAAAAGTGACTGCCAGCAGCTCTGGGCCCACTTCCTCCCTACTCCGAGTGCAGATAGGAAGTTCTTCCCAGGAGTCTCAGCAACGGCCCCGGCTGGCTTTCACGCTCCTCCTCTCCCTTCCTTTATTCAGCAGCTGTGTAGCTGCTGAACTTGGCCCCAGCCCACACACCCAATCACACCAGGTCACTGCACGTGGCACACTCTGGGTCCGAGACTTCTCTTATTGCCTCACCCACTTCTTGCATTTGCCTCCTCTCTCTGCCCACCCCTGGCCTCTGGCTTGGTGCAGGGCCTTTGCACTGGCTGGCCCTCTGCCTCATGCTCCTTTTCCCATTTGTCTCGTGCTTTCGCTGCTCCAGCTTTGGTTCAAAGTCCCCTTGTCAGCGAGGCTGTCTTGACATTGGTTCTGAAGCCCTGCAACGCTGGCTCCTGCCACTGCCTTTTTTTTCCCTCTTAACCTGTTCGCAATTCATCTTTTGTTTGTTGCGAATGGAAACTACTTGAGGGCAGGTGTCTTTGTCTCTTTTATCTCTGCTACACCCCCAGCACCTAGAACAGTGGCTACCTGGCGCAGGACAGGTGCCTGTGGATGTTTGCGTAATGCATAGAAGGAAGCCCGGGTGGGTGTGTGTGTGTGTGGGGGGGAGGAGCCCTCTTGGAAGAGTCCTCTACTGTGGGGTGAATGGACTGGCCTCAGGCCCACTGAGGGTTAGTGAGGGGCCTTCTGTCTTGGCTGAGCCTTGGACGAGAGACCAGGTGGGCACGGGCCCTTCAGCTGTCTTTGCCAAGTGCCGCTGGGATTTACCACCCCTTGGGAGATCAATAGGATTAAATTTTAATCCTTCTCTGCTGGTCCTTTTGCGAGTTGACTCTTGGGTCTATCTCTAAATGCCACACTGGCTGGAAAATGCAGCTTCCCCACTGGGCTGGGCTGCCCGGCTTTCTTGTGTGTTGGACCGAGGTTCATTATTTATTTGGGGTGCATCAGTGAGGGCCAACATACATGAGAGCAGGCTGCACAAGGCCGTGTCCCTGGAGCTGCCCAGGGCGGGCTGGCTGGCCAGGACACTGCGGCTGCAACTCCCCCCGGAGCTGACTCTGAAGGCTTCTTGGAAGCAGTGTGTGACCGGTCAGCCAGGAGCGAGGGGCTCGGAGCAGAGGCTCAGGTTGGCGTGTGGTCCTCAAAGGGAGCGTGAGGGGCTGGGGGGAGCTCACACCAGGAGTTTGAGTCAAACACTCAGTGCCAGTGAAGGACGCTCACGTGGGGACAGTGGGTGGCGCTGACTCTAGGGATGGGATGGGGTGGGCGGGGCGTCCCCAGGCAAACTCCCTGGAGAGGGGACTTGAGTCTCACTCCCTGGAGGGGGACTTGAATCAGGTGTGCAGAAACCAATGCTATTGGGGGAGTCCCAGTGGAGAGGAGGCTGCATTTATGGAGGAGGCCTCCGATTGCTGAGCCACGAGGAACTCCGAGAACAAGACTGAGGCCTAACTGAGGTCTTGCCCACCTGAGCGGGGCAGCGGCTAATGGCACCATCAGTAATGCCACGGCGGTGAAGCATTTGTAGAGCATGTTGGGGTCCAGGCACCCTCAGGCTTGTCAGTGGCGTGACCCGGACTTTCCAGGCATACTTGTGTCTGGCCATCCTAACAGCTCCAGCGGCCTGGGGGCCCCTCCACACCCGTGTTCCTCATGGACTGATGAGTTTGCTGGGGATGCCATTCTGCTGTTGCCCCGAGCCCTGGAGGCCTTAGGCTCTGTGTGCAGCTGAGGGCAGTGCTGTGGCTGGGTGTGGTCAGGAGGGAGGTGTGGGGGTGCCAGCTTCCCAGTGGAACTGCCCCTTCTCTGCGGGCAGAGGCTGAGCAGAGGCACAGCATAGCAGCGGCGGGGGGCTCTGTGCTGGGCTTCAGGCTGAGGTTGTGGGAGGAGGGACGTTGGGTAGAACACATGAGCTGGGCGTGGGCACACGCGTGCCGCTGCGATGGCCGGGCTTCCTGTTTGCCACTACACACGTGTCTTTGCGCACCACACAGGCACATGACTTATAGCAGCGTGCACACGTGTATATACGTGTCCGGCATGGCACATGTGGCCGCATGATGGTTCGTGCATGTGTCCGCCCGTGCGTGTGTGCGGTCAGTGTGTATGGGCACTCCATCTGCGTGCTCGGCGGGAGGGCCCGTGGTGTGCCTGCACAGCGTGCAATTCTTTGTGTGTGTTTTACCTACTCCACGGGGTGCGTGCGTGCCTGTGCGTGCACCCGTGTTTATATGTCCTCACACGTGTGTGTCTGCGCGCTTGCAGTCATGTGTGTGTACACATACGTGTGCCTCTATAGACCTTATCCTGCGAGTCACAGGATGTGTCCACCCCCTGACCCCCGTGCAGGGGACCGGGGTCCACCTCGCCTGGCGCTGCCCCGTGGTGTTCTGGCCATGTAGTTCCTGGGGTCCCTTGCAGGGGTGGGAGCTGCCATCTATTGAATAGGACTCCTGGGCGACCCCCTTTGCTCCTGCGCAACTGCTGGGAGCTTGATGCTCTGGGTGAGTGACCTCCCTTCCAGACAAGTGGGATGGCTTGCCCGGGGTCTGTGGAGAGGCCACCCCCAGATGAGGGCCCCCTGATATGTGTCAGGAAAGACCTGGCTGTGTGAGGGAGGGGCCTAATAGCTGGAGCCTCTTTACCTCCCTAGATGGGATCCCCTGCTCTCAGCCCCTGCAGCTGGAGCTGAGAATTTGGAGCGTGAGACGGATGTGGGGTAAAGGGTGATGGCGCGAGGTGGAGGAGCTGTCAGGGAACACGGGTTGATGCGGTGCCCTGGTTCAGGGCCTGCGTGTCCTGGCCTTCCCCGGTCTCGAATTGCCTGCTTGGTGTGACAGGGGCTGTCACACCTGTGACATGCCTTCACAGGCCTGGTGGGGGAACCCCTTGGCTTCTGTGCTGGCCGGTCACCCCCACCCACACCCCAGGTTCAGCTCCTAAGCCCTGAGTGGGCTTCCTCCTGTGTGAGTGGGGCTGACACGAGAACTTTCCGTGTAAGCTTCTCGTAGGAACCCCGACCCAGCACCGGGCCTGGCGTGGGGGCCGCTGTCATTGTGAGTGATGACAGTGACGGTAGCTTCCTGCACCTGCTGTGTGCTAGATCCCGAGTGAGGACTGTGAGGGGTGGCGGTCCATAGAGTCCTCATAAGAGCGTGTGTGAGGTACTGCTGTGACCTCCCACCCCCCTTCTAGAAAAGGAGGAGGCGGCTCAGGGAGGTGAAGGGCTTCCCATGTTCGTAAGTGGATTTGGACCCTGCCGGCCACGAAGCTGTGATCTTGGTCCCCACCCTCTGCCTTCTTGCCGCACCTCTGTGATTCTCACACCTTCTCCTGGGTAAACCCTGGGCCTTTTGGAGGTTGACTTGTGTCTTAAAAATCTCCCAGTTGCTCAGGGCTTAGGAGTTGAACCTGGGGTGACCGGCCAGCACAGGAGCTGAGGGGTTCCCCCACCAGGTAGGTCTGTGAAGGCATGCTGGCTGCTCTGGGTGCACCCCCTTGCCGGGGCTCCTCCCTGCTCTCTTCTCGAGGGCCTGTAGGGGACCCCGGTGTTCCTGAGATAGTGAGGATGTGGTTGAATGTGGCTGCAGCTTCTGGAGCCCCCATTGTGGCCCCAGGCCCAGCCGTGGAAGGCGGAGGTTTCCAGTGACTGCCACTCTTCTGTTCTGCGTCAACCTTTATCTAGATGGGCAGCTGCTGCCGACCCCTACATGGTCGTGAATGTGTGCAAACCCCTATGTGCCCCTCAAAATCAAAGTTAGGTAGCCCTTCTGTTACCTTCTTAGGGCAACTTGTGTTCCACTTTATACCGCCCCTACACATCACGTGGTCCTTGTCTACCTGAGCATGCCCACCTGCCACCCTGACCTTGACCAGCCTGAACCCTGGACTGGGTTCATGTCAGGCAGTGACCAGGTCTTACTTAGTCTGTGTCTTGACCCTGTGTTTAGTACAGATGGGGTGCTCAGGAAGCCGGAGGACCCTCCTGTCCTTCCACCTTCTACCCAGTCCTCACTTGACCTGGCTCCATCGGCAGTACTGTAGGGCTGACGCTCACCTGCTTCCAGGTGTGGTTGGGGTGAGGGGGCTTTGTGGCGACCGTCGGGCAGCCCCTGCCCCATGCCAATCCCAAGCGTGGGGAGGTTCCAGATGGGACCCACCCCTTGTCTTCCTCTCTGTCAGAGCCCAGAGGCCCACAGGTGGTGGTATCCTTCCTCCTCCTGTCATCCTCCTGGGGCTCCGTTTGATCAGCCCGATGGGGCCAGGCCTTGCATTGCCCACACCGTGCTCGTGTGTGGTTTCGGGACTCGGGCGTGCGCTCTCTACTGGCTCTAGTGGGCGCTCAGTAAAGTGGCCACACTGATTGTCCCCCACAGTTGTCTGGCCCCCAGTCACACTCTGAAGCTGCTGTCTTGGGGTTCTGGCTTGGCAGAGGGGCCAGAGCATGGCTCTGTTCTGGCGTCCAGGACTCTAGGCCAAGCTCGTGCTGGGGGCTGGAGCCCACCTGCATCCCTACTCTGTTACCAGGGGAGAAGGGTTGGCACACACTGGGCGCCCCTTCTCCCTGATGTCAGGAACTTGGACTTAAGTGCTATGGTCAGCCATGTTGCCCAGGACTCTGGGCCACTCCCTTTTAGAGGATCTGGATTTGGGGGTGCCTGGGGGATGGTTTTGCTCGGATGGTGATGACCAGCCTGGCCTGTCTTCCGAGACCACCTCAGACAGACTGGGCTCCCTGAGTTCTGCCAAGTCAAGACCCTCACTTGCCCTGGCTCCCAGTGGACACCCCACTTTGATCCCATTCCGTCTGAATTCGACACAGCCACCTGCCTGGCTGTCTCTCTGAGGTCCCGGGGTCCCAGGCCAGGGGCTGGGTGGGCCTGCCAAAGCATGACATGTGTCTTCAGGGTCCCAGGGTCCAGCCTGCTGACTTGGCGGCCACTGCGCTCTCTCTGCCACATGTCCCTGTGTTCCTAATAAGTCTTGGGCTGAAAGTGGGGCGGAGGCGGGTTGGGGGGGGGTGCGTGCTCAGAAATAGTCACATGATTGTGAAACACAGGAATCCTAGAAAGGGAATCTCGGAGCCTCTCTCTGGACCTCCTCCTGCACGCCCCCCCTCCGCCCCCAGCTGGCAGCACTGGCTCTGAGGTCACCGTGGACACCCTGCCAGCCTCCAAGGGAAGGACGGCCTCTCAGGCCTGGCAGTGCCGGCCCGGCTGGCAGGGAGCGGGCTCTGGGAAGCGGGGCCTGGGGGCGTGGGTGGCAGGGAGCCACCGAGAACACGGTGCGCTTGTTAGAATCGAAACTTGGCGGGCTTGCCAGGGACGCTGCGGGCGGACGGAGGCCTCTTCTCTATGTCTGTTTCAAGCCTGGGGAGGACTCGTGGGGGACCCAACCCCCCCCACCCCCCCACTGTCGATTGGCTTGCAGGGTTGGGCAGCTGCCCGCTGTTCCGGGAGGCCTCTATTTATAATCTGTCCTCTGTGTGTGTGTGTGTGTGTGTGTGTGTGTTAATTCCTCCTCTTCTTGTTACCCTGCAGAAGAAGGCCGAAGCTGCACATCGGATTCTGGAAGGTCTGGGGCCTCAAGTGGAGCTGGTGAGCTAGGGCCCGCGTGGGGGTGGTGGGGAGGTGGGCCGGGCTCAGGTGGATGTGGAGGAAGGCCTCAGAGGAAGTCCTCAGTGTCGAGTGCTGCCAGGGCGGCAGGAAATCCACTCCCTGATAAGAGGACTGGCAGATACTAGCAGTGGGTGGGCTGAGAGTGGGGGCGGGGGCAGCGCTGGCACCTCTGCTACTTTTTGGTGCCCAGCCGGCCAGGCTGCAAGAAGATGGGCAGATTGGAGGCCAGCCCGCTCGGCCTAACTTCCCCGGAAGCCCGTCCTGCGGGCCAGGCGGCCACGGCTCTGCCTGGATCGGGCCTGGGGGCCTGTGGGGCCTGGGCAGGCGACCCGGCTGTGCTTCTGCCGCTCGCGGTGGGCATAGCTTGCGGTGGGCATCGCGCCTGTGCCTCTGGGCGGCGGTGAAGATCAACCGTGCTCCTTGTTGCAAAACGCTGAGCAGTGCCTGATGTCGTAAGTGCCTGTGCCAGTGGTGTGCTTACGGCTCTGCCGTCGCCGGGGTGGTCGCGGACGGGAGGGACCTCCTCGCTCGGGCTTGCTCATCACCTGTGTCACCGGAGATGGGACACAGACGCCAGCAGGAGACCCTCGCTGGGGGTTTGGAGCCCTGGCCTGGGGGTGGGGCGAGAGTGAAGCTTCGGTTCCAGGAGAACTGGCCAGAGTCTCCCCTCCAGTTGCCTTTGGGGACCAGTGGGTGTTCCGCTGCGTCCTGGGGGCCAGCGTGAGAGGCCACTGCCCACCGGATCTGCGGAGAGGGGGCGGGGCTGAACTGCAGGGCTGAGCTGCTGGGCTACACCCTGGGGGTTGGGATGGGCTCGCAGCCCCTTCTGAAGCTCGCTGTCCCAGGAGTGCTGCGTGGCCTTGGGAGAGGGGCCACCCAGGGCCGGCGCTCTCCTCTGGTCAAAGGGGAGGCTCCAGCCCCTACCCCGGTTCTCCGTGAGGGTTCTCTGATGCGACACCCGCTTCCTTGAGCGCATGGCCTGGCCTTTGTGAGGGCTTTTCTGCGGGTTGCTGAGTTTTCAGCAGTGACAGCTGCCCCCAGCCTAGGGTCCACCTGCCCAGGCCCCAGGTCCTCTCTGTGGCTGTGCACCATGTGGGTGCCCAGGGCAGGGGCCAGCTCCCGGGAACCTTGCCTGGCTCTCCTCTCTGGACCTCCCAGGTTGGGGATGGGGCTTCCAGCCTGGCGTCTTGCTATCCTATTGGGCGTTTTTCTGAGAAATCTGCAGCAGCCGCCTTTTTTTTTTTTTTTTTTCTCCCTCATTTCAGCAGCTTTATTGAGATGTAATTCACACCATACAATCCAGCCATTTAAGGCACACGATTCAATGGTGCTGTGTGTTCACAGATGGGCCACAATCAATTTTATAGCATTTTTCCCTGACAAAGCTCTCTGTACCCTTAACTATCACCCCCTTATCTCCTCCCGCCTCACCCCCGCGCGCCCCCAGCCCCCGTCTGTGTCCTGTGTCTATGGGCTGCTGTTTGGTCGTGTCCTGTGAAGTGCTCCGCCCTTGTCCTGGCTCTGGCCACTCTCATTCAGGCTCAGGCTTGCCCATGCAGGGCAGGACTCCGGGCGGCCTCTCACACCTCGAGGGACGCCAGGTGATTTTGCCTTTTTAAATAAAGTACCCTGGTGGCCCCCTGAGCGGATGCTGTTACCTGGGTTGCTTGGCGTCGGCTCCCGAGGACGGCCAGGCAGCGCCCCCAAGTCGCTTCTCCATGCGACACTCCCAGCAGTAAGTGGCAGCTGCCTCAGTTTCCCCTTCTCTCCAAACGGGGGTGGCAGAATGGGAGGCCATGCCTGACCATTTCCTTCCCCTTCCTGACTCCGTCCCTGGGGCTGCATTCTGGGTGATTCTGAGTCCAGCCTCTGAGGCTACAGGCCAGGGCAGTGTCGCGGGGCAGCGGGCGGGGGTCTGCCAGGCTCATAAACTCGGAAACCTGAGAGTCAAGTGATTTTTTTTCCTGGTTCGTGGCGGGGGGAGTGGTTGTCCCCTGCTGGCAGTCCACCAGGTGCCGGCTTCCTTGGGCTGGTGGCACAGGAGGCTGAGAACCAGGCACTGGGGTGACATTCGGGGGGACTCACAGCGACAGGGGCACCAGTGTTGGGCCTCATGTTCCTGGTGAAACTCAGAGGGTCCTGCCTTGCCTAAAGCTGAGGGGGGTGCTGAGCCCGCAGAGTGCGACCACCCACTCCTGCCCTCTCTTTTGGTCACTATAAGGCCAGAGGGGCCTTCCAGGAACACCTGTGAGAGCTCCGGGCAGGAGGACGCCCCGTCCCCCTGCCTCCCTGGGGACCTGTGTCCCCTGGAGTCTCTCCCCTCTGCAGCCACGAGGGGTGGGAGGGCTGCCCTGTTGACTTCTCTGGGGGGAGGCCTGGGCACTGGAAGGAAGAAAGCGGAGCAGCGAGAGTGTCCTCGGCACGGCTGGCCCTGGACACCCGTCTGGGCTGGCGGAGGCTGGTGGGAGGGCGTGGGCGGGCGTGGGGGCGGGAGGAGGGCCAGGCCTGTGGGCAGCCGCAGCCCCGCTCCTGTCCCTGCTGCTCGAGTCGTTGGCTTCCTTCCTGTTCGGAGGTGTTATTTTAAGAATGGTGTCACCAAGGCTGAGGCCGTGGCTGACACTTCATTTGCTGCCAGCTCGGGCCACCTGGGGCAGCGTGTTCTCCTCGGCAGCCCCACGTTAGGCCTTCAGGGGCTCCCCTTCCTTCCCTGTCCCCGTGCTGCCACGCTGCCTCTGTCTAGTGCATCCCCTGCGGTGCTGTCTGCCTGGTGAGGGTTTGCACCCTACTTTGGGTGAGAAATGGGCTGGGGAGCTGAGCTGGGCCCACAGCTGCCAGGCTGCTCCCTTTGCTTCCCGGGCCTCAGTTTACCTTGGAGCGCTCCCTGTGTGCCTGCTTAGGGGGCAGCAGACCCTACAGCATCGTCGTGCTTCTGGGCTCTCCCTTACAGACCTGAAGAGGCCTCCTGGGCAGGCAGGTCGCTCCACGCCTGTCTCACCTGGCTGCGCATCTGGGGCTCAAGTGCTGGCTGGGAGCCCTCTGCCTGCCCAGAAACCCGTGTCCCCTTTCAGGGCCGCCCCATCCTGCAGACACAGAAGCCTCTCTGCCTGAAGCCCCAGCGGCCTCCTGAGCTTGTGGACACCTGGCTACTTGCCATTTTTACACCCCGAATTAGGCAAACCAGTCCCCACGCCTGGCACGTTCCCGCTGCTTGGGAGCACTGCAAGGAGGCGGGCGCTGGGCTGAGGCCTTGGCCCGCAAGGTGGGCACCATCCTTAGGCCAGGGTGTCTGTTCTGGGAACTGGGCCTGGAGGCCACTCCATGGCCTGTTTTATTGGCACACAGGGAACTCCAGGGTCCTCTGTGAGTGCGGCGTCCAGGGGCCCCTCCCTGTGCCGCTGCTGCTCAGCAGGGTGCTCCCGGCCTTGGGCCTTGCCTGCTGGACATTCCTGTGACTAAGGGCCGTGTGTTGACTTCCTCCCCTCCCAGTCAGACACGGAGCTGGGGCTCCCCCACGTTTCAGGCTCTCCTGGTGTGGGCAGAGAGGGCCTGTGCCACCTGTGGGTCACTTCCCATCCCCAGGAAAGTAGCTGGGCTCACCCTCTGGAATTGCTTGAGCCCCAGGGGAATGGTTAGAAGGGAACACCGGGAGAGGGTTGACACTATCCTGAGTCACCCTTGGGTCCCAACCACACAGGGAGCAGAGGCACAGGGGTCAGTCGGCCTATCCTGGGACAGGGCAGCTTGGGCCTGTGACCCTGCTGCTTATGGCCGGCCCCACTGGCTGGGAATATCAAGATGTTTGTGGGTGTTAGGAGACATCTCTACGCCCAGGGAGAAGTTGCAGAGGGAGCCTGAGACCCTCCTCCCCTGGCCCTGGGCTTGAGCTTCAGGATTCCGGTCTCCATCCTGCTAGCCTGCGCGGCCCTCCCACCGCACTGGCCTTGGTTCTCCCACCGCCATCACCATGGCTGCCTGGGCGCTCCTGCTGCAAGGGAGGGGGGAGGGGAGGGGCATAAGGGAGGCATGGGGGGTTGGGGGGGGGTGCCTGACCACACATTAAAGTCTACCTGCGAGCTGGAGTATAGGGACAGGATTCTAGCTCTGTCTCATCTCCTGCCAGCTGTGGGCAGGTGTGCTCACCTTGCGGGGACCTGGCTCTCCTGCTGTGAGGGACGATGGTGTCAGTTAGCACTGCTGTGTAACAGGGCGGCAGCTGCCCACGAAGTCAGCGTTGCTCATTTCCGGGAGCTGAACACGTCAAACATTTCTGTGGATCTGGGCTCAGCTTGCCGCCGTCATGGTCGGGCCCCACTGGCCTTTCACCGCAGCCGGGCCTGCCCTCTAGATGGGCAGGCGCACAGGAGGGGACCGGGGAGCAGGTGTGCACACCCCACCGCCGCTTGCATTAGGTCTGCAGCCGGCCCGTCGGCCGCGGGTGCAGGTGGCTGCGGGGAGGCCTGGGCAGGGGGTGCCGTCCACGTGGGCACCACCTGGTGGCACAGAACCCTCTGGGCGTTCCATCTGCCCGGAGCGCTGGGAGCCCGGACTCAGGGGAGCTTTACTGCAGCTGCTTCCAGCGTGGGCCTGGGGCCCAGGCACACCAGCTGTCCCAGAGACTCAGTCAGACAAGTGAGGGGCTGGCTGGACCAGGAAACAAGTCTGGCTGCGTCCTTGCGCCCAGGCCTGCGCTGCCCTGGGAGGAGGGGACAGGCCACTGAGGTGCAGGCACACTTCGGAGCCTGTCCAGTTGCTGGAGGGCAGTTCACCCTCTTTGCACTGCTGCTGGTGCTTGTGTGGGGGCGAGTCTTTGTCTTCCATCCTGCGCCCAGCACGGGCTTCTGGCCACCCTACTGCTGTCTGGGATGGTGAAGGTGCCGTCTCCTGGGGGACTCAGCATCTTTAGGAGGGTCTGGGGTCACAGACCCCTGCGCCTCTCTTGTGCTGCCATTCCCAGAACCCCACCTCCTCCCCCCTTCCCGCCACCATTTGGCTTCTGGTCTCTGCCGGTCAGCAGGGGTGGTTTAGACACAGAAGGTCAGCAATTCTCCCAGCTCATGGCCATTGCTGATCTCAGCTCCCAGAGCACTCGGGCTGGCACTGCCAGGTGCCCTGCAAAGCAGCCACTGCGACCTTGGGGGGATGATGAAGCTGTGCTGGAGGGCGACAGCCCATTCCTGGCTGGGCCGCAGGCTGGTCCCCATGATCTGCTTCCTGTCTGCGGTGGCTACTCTCACCCCAGCAGTCCAGGGCCCGGGGCACCTGCGACCCAGATGGCCCAGCGCTGGAGCTTGGCCTCTGGGCGCTGCTGCAGGGCCCTGACCAGCCTGGTGGCTCCTGCTGCCCACAGTGAAGCCCTACCTGACATGCCTCCCTCTCTCCACAGCCGCTGTACAACCAGCCTTCTGACACCAGGCAGTATCATGAGAACATCAAAATGTGAGTGCATGGGAGTGGGGGCCTGATGCTCGGGCCTCAGGGATCTGGGCGGGGATGTGGGGGGGTCCTGGTCCCCATCACGGTTCCCACTGGGTCTTCCAGCCCCAGGCGCTGGGAGTGGGGGCAGAAAGGGGACAGTCAGGCAGGAGTTCTGGCCCAGGTCAGGCCTAGGGTGGCATCCAAGCTGCTCTGGGAAGGGTAGGGGAACAGACCTAGGGGTGAGGAGGGCTGGGGAGCTGGCCGTGATGGGGTTGAGGGGAGTCTGCATCTTGTTTGAGGGAGGAAGCTGTGCCTGGTGGAAAAGAGGGGCTCAGGAAGTGGGGAGGGAGGTGGTCACTGCTCTGGGGCCAGCAGGGGCCCTTTGCTTTGCTCTGATGCAGCAAGTGTAGAAGTGTCCTGGGGTCTGAATAGAGGGGTCTGTCTGTGGCACAGCCCCCAGTGGAGCTGCTGGGAGCACTAGTTCAGAGCTGGAGTTCCCCGAGTGCCAGTGTGATGTATCCAGTCATGGGAATTTTATCCAAATGAATGCTAGGAGTGAAAAAATATCCCTTAAGTGAAGAACATATTTTTATGGTGTCCGAACTGGTATTGCAGGGGCACCAGGGCTGTGCTGAGGTTGGAGCCTTCTGCCTCCAAGTGGGAGCAAAGCATCAGAGGTGTGACTACTGGAAGGTGACTGCCTTTTTCTTGGGATGCATTAATAGAAGTATGATCTCTTTGTTCGAGGAGGAGATATCACCTCATGTTGTTATGCAAGAACCCAAAATGTTAGAGGGGGTTGCAGCCCTTGATCATTGAAGAACATCGCGGAATCACGGCCTTTGAACTATCCAAGGTCTGTCATTGTGCAAGTGAACGCACAGGTGTTCAGATGTGACCTCGGTGCTTTGCTGGTCCACTGGGCAGACCAGCCTGTTCTGATGGTCTGAGCGCCCCTAGGGGTGTTGTGGGTATTCAGGCAGCTCCCCATCCCTGGAAGCATGCAAGCCTGATGGTTTTGAAGCGTCGCCGGTGCTGGATTAGTTGACAAGGAGGCCTCTTACAGCATAATTTCTGGATCTGCCTGGGCTCTAGTGATCAGCTGGGCCCCACTCCTGTAGTCCAGTGATGGAAGGAGAAACCTCCTGCTGACAGTGAGGCTCCTGGCCCAGTTGGGCTCAAAAGCGCCTGCGAGGGTGCATCACCTGGGACCATGAAGTATCCTGAGGGGGCTGGCGAGTGCTGTGATTCCACATCCAGTGCAGCTTGGCCTGTGCTGCCTGGCCTGGTGGCAAGTTCACCACCCAGGTAGCAAATCAAGAGGGCCTGATTCAACGAGCTGTCCTTTCCGCAGCTTCCTGGGGGCTGCTGCTGGGGAGAGTCTCCAGTGGAAGGCGAGTGGGTCAGGGGGCCTCAGAGGTTGTGTGGGTGGGGGGTATTCTGGTCTGAGAGGGGTACTAGGAGCATTCACTCACCCATTCATTCATGCTTTCAGTCATTCATACATTCACTCATTAATTCACTCGTTCATGGATTCACTCACACATTCATTCATGCTCTCACTCATTTACTCACCCTGCACACCATTTATCAAGCACCTTCAGTGTGTCAAGCCCTTTTCTTAGGGGATTCCTAAGAGGAATTCCTAAGCCCTCTTCCTGGGGATTCTAGTCTGAACAAAACAAGGACCCACACCCTCATAGGTTTTGTCTAATGGTGGAGACAGAAAATGAGGGTGCCTAATAAGCAAGGAAATAGAAAGTGCTGCAGCCACAGTCACCTAAACACTCTACATGCCTGGTAGTATTTTTCCTTTTGATGGATCAGTTTTTGATAGCAGTATGATTATTGGTGTTATCACCAAAAATAATTGATTTTTAAGCTGAATAAGGTAGTTGATTCCAGGTGGTAAAAATAGTAGGATCCAAACCGAAAAGTGAGAAAAGTGCCCGCACCGTGTTCACCTGCAGTCATCGCTCATTCGAGTCTTGGGGGCTCTCGTGGTGGCCGCGCCCTGACCTCACAGAGCGGCCCTGGCCTTCTGGGCACACTGAGCAGGAGGACGCTCAGGGGAGGCGTCCTGACTCTCAGTCACAGGCAGACTTGTTCTGCTGGAAGCAGAGATGAGTAGTTGAAGGATTCTTACCTGACCAGGGGGCAGTTTTTTTTTTTAATTTATTTTTTTATTTTATAACAGTTTATTTTTACATTATTTTGTACATTATTTTTTTCCATCTCAATTGTAATCCCCGCGGGTTTCCCATCACCATGT